AACTAAAGTGATCTCTGGCCTGGATCCCCTGTGGCGTGTTGTAATCACAATGTGGATCCTGTTCAGGGACTGCCTGGGGGCCAATGGGGAGAGCAGGGTTTGTGCGGTGAATTTCATCTGCATGGCTCCGAGCTGCGCCCCAGACACAGTCGCATTCCTCGGGAAGGAGGGTGTTGGCCAGGAGCATATAGATGTCATGATGTGTGAGACTGTATGCCTGAAGGACCCACTGAAATTCTTTAATGTAAATAGAGGGGTCGGTGGTGAAGGACCCTAACCTCTTTTCCAGCTGGGCGAGATCAGCTAATGAAAAGGGAACATGTACCCTAACAACCCCTTCAGCTCCAGCCACCTCATGGAGAGGAGCCATGGTGGAGGAAGGGAGGAGTCCTCGGGAACGAGTTACAGGGGGAGCTAAAGGAAGGCGCCAGAGCAGGTGAAATAGGAGTCGGCAGGGAATAAGATGGCGGCAAGGTGGGGCTAGAAAATGGCGGGGCAAAAGATGGCAGTGGAGGAAGTGATGGGGTGAGAGAAGATGGCGGCGGAGTCACTTGTGGGGGTTGAGGGACAGAAAATGGCAGCGAGGCGGGGCTGGAAGAAACGGGAGGAGGGGGCAGGAGGGAGAACGGGCTGGCTAAGTGAAGCGGAAGATGGCGGTGAAGTTAACTGAGGGGGTTGGGGAGCAGAGGGAGTTACAGGAGGAGGAGACCTGTATGGAGGGGTTTGTCCACAGAGTCAAAATTATCAGAAGTAGGGGGTAGTGGAGGTGGTGAGGATGGAGGGGGTTTGGAAGCAAGGAGAACCTGAGAAGGAGAACAGGTGAGACAGTAAGAGGGATTTTGAGCAAGTAGGCGGAAAGCCTCAACGTAGGGAATCTCTTTCCATTTTTTCAGGTGCTGGCAGTAATTAAAGAGATCCCGGAGAATATCGGGATCGAGTGTGCCCTCAGGGGCCCACTTATTTTGGTTATCTAGAGGATAATAAGGCCAATCTTGTGTGTAAAATTTGGTTAGGAGTTTGAGTTTAATGTCAGGCTTGAGGGATAAAGCGGTGAGGTTGTTTAAGAGACATTGTAAGGGTGAATCGCCCCGAAGTGAGGAGGCAGAAGCTCCCATTCTGAAAAAAAGGTTTAGAGGAGAGAAGTCAGAGGAGGATTAAAGATGAGTCCTTCGGCTGGATGAGAAAGACGGGACTCAGAGGGCGTCCCCAATGAGTCGCGCTGATCTCAAGGGAGAGGTTCAGTTATGAACCCGGAGAGAAGGGGGTGTAGGTCGTCACCTAGACCCTCACTTCCCTTAGGCGAATTTGCCTGGAGCCAGAAGGGACCTAGCACGCTAGGGTTTTGACGGACAGCGGAGGTCCAGGGCCCAGTAGGAGGAAGGTTAAAAGGAGTGAGAGAAAGACAGAGGAATGGGGGCTTAGCCTCCGGGCCGGGGGAATGTGATTAGGGTGAAGGTTTAAATAATCTACAAGCCTGACAAAATGAAAAGGGGGCTTCCCTAACAGATGAGCCGGTGGTGGGTGAAGGAAGCCAGCGCCGGAGAAAATAGACGAGGGCAGACCGTCAGTCCCGGAGGGTCGCAGAGGAGTCCGAGGAAGGAGTCCCCTGGCGCGGGGTGAACTCCTTCCCGGGTTTCGGCACCAATTAAAGGGCACACAGACGAAGGAGGCACGTGAGACCCGGGCTGACAGTTCACCAGAGAAGTTCCGCTTTATTCAAGGACCACGCGTATATTTAGAGGGAGATGCATTCCGGGTTTGGATAGGGGGTGGACGGGGCGGTAGCTGATTGGACGGGGTTGGGCGGGAGGTGGGCCTTGACCTGTGACTGGTTGAGGTTTGGCGCCGGCGGGCTTTCAGTGCGGAGAAGAACCCGGAAGGGTGCCATATTGCCATGGAGTGCCTTCCCCCTCCCCCGCTTGAGTGCCCACGGTATCCTACAAAAGGGGCAGCTCATATTCAAGGGGCATGAGTACCAGGAGGCATGGTTCATAAAGGACCACCAAAGAACAGTCTATATCACAAACAGGTTTTGTTGTTGCTGTTGCTCTTTCCAGGTCATCCAATGGTTTTGCTGTCTTTAACTCTAGCTTAGGCCTGCTCTCAGATTAATCTCATTTCATGTTAACAGCCTCCTAACTGGTCTCCCAACCTCCAGCCTTGCTCCCTGCTGTTTCCATCCTCCACACCCATGCCAGAGTGATCTTATTAAAAGGCAAATTAGATTATGCTACTGCCTTGCTTCGAAGCTTTGCATGGCTTTCTGACTGCTTTTGGGATGAAGTACAAGCATTTCGTGTGTTTTGTAGGGTTCCATGTGATCCAGTCCTTGTTTTCACCACTTTAGCCTAACTTCTTACTACTTATTTCCTTTCTTGAGTTCTGTGATCCAAGTGCACTATAATCCTTTCAGTCCTTTGAACAGGCCATGCTCTCTCTCCCCTCTTCTTAAATGCCAAGGTCATTCTTTTCTTTCCCAGCCACCCCTCCCTCCTTCACTTGGTTCACTGTTAAGTGTCTCTTCTTATAGTAAGTGCTCAGTAGGTATTTGTTAATGCAACGCTAATTTGTTCAAGACCTATTTCCTTAGCTTCTGCTTGGTGCCATGCACTGCACTGAGCCCTGAGCATACTTTGTTGAGCAGAACATACCTGTGCTTGTGAAGCTTCCGTGAACGATTCAGCCGCATTGCCATCTTTTCAACCCATCCTGATTACATGGTTGGGGGAAGAGGGGAGGGGGTGAGCAATGTAAGATTCCTTTTAGCTTTTGAAAGCTCCATTGCTCAGGCATGCCAAGGGGCTTCAAATGTTAATGTCCACCCATTGTTGATACTTTTCAGCTTTACTGATTATCTTGGCTCTTATGTTTTCTGTCTTTTTATCCCAGAATTGAAAGATCTCAAAAGAATTGACTTTGAATTTCAGTTGTGAATAGGCTTAACAATTATGGGGGCAAGGGAGCTAAGGAGAGAAAAATGACTGTGCTTAGTGTCTTGTTTGGTAAGCCTCTCGGAACCTCACTCCCACTTGTTGCTCAATAACATTTTTAAAATGATACATTTGTGGTCATGCTTTGCCATCCATCAATTGAAAACAAAAAGAAAATGAGATCTGGAAGACTTTTAACTAGGCTCTCCAAAGAAGAAATGTGTTAAATAGCTGGATGGCTGGTCAAGGTCTTGTTGTGCTCTTTTACCTGCCCATAATCCTGCCAGCTGGGCCAATTGTCAAGCTCTTTTACTTGCTGGTAATCCTGCCAATGACGCCAATTGTCAAGCTAGGGCTGGGTCTGGAGCTCACAGACCCCTCAACACCATTCACAGACTGGGTCACAAACCCTTCACATGCCAAGCTGGGTCTCCAGACCCCTCACATGCCAGGCTGGGTCACCAGACCCCTCACACACAGGTCTATGGGCTAGGTAACCAGCAAACAGGTCCTTGGAAGCCGTAGGTTGGAGAGCAAGGACACGCACAGCAGGCACCTGAGGCAGACACCAGCCAAACTGTGGCGCCATGCAGGCACACTAACTCCACCTCTACACACAATTTGCTTACAAAGATTGTGCTGCACCATCCCCAACCGGACCAAGGTGAGGGGCCCCAATTAAACTATTCTATTTTCCCAATGGGCTTTTTCCCTTCCTTCTTTTACCTTTTAATACATTGTTTTTATCACTGCCTTTAAATTTAATGGAAATGTTTTCTTAACAGCTTTTATTATACCAAGGGATACATCCTAAGAATTGGTGTGCAGGGATCATGGTACACACATTTCCTTTTAAATGTTTGAATGCGTGCCTTTTCAGTGGAAAATACTGATAGGTGGAAATGGGATGTGCAGCTTAAGATATGGCCTCCACCCCAAGAAGTTTAGAATCTAGTTGATGCGATAAAATGTGAATGTGTGAGACGTTAAGAGTGACATATTTAAATTATGGGTTAAAGACAGCAAGGGAAAGATATCTGATCCACGGTGTAGATGTGAGTCCTCTGGGAATTCTGAGGAAGAAATGGCTACTGCGTGATGGTGTGCCCCGTCCCTTTCCCCAGAAGCTAGACAGGTGGGGCTGAGCTTAGACACAGTGGTGGGGGGACATCCGATTGTGTTCAGCTCCTCCTAATGTTTGCTGTCAGCCAGAGTTCCTCCAGCACTCTTCCAACCGAAGGTGTTTGCACCTTTTTTTGCCCTGTGTCTGATCTGTTGCCAAGAGAATTGTTTTTCTATGTTGCACTGCTGTTGAAGCATTAGCACCCAGACCTCTTTCATACCTTGGGCAATGGGCCTGTTTTCCAGGTCCAAGAGTACCAAGAGGCCCTGGAGGGAATATTAATCAGAGGCAAGAACGGGATCCGCCTGGTGCCAGAGCTCTACGCCATCCTGCCTAACAAGGTAACGGGGGGACCAGGGCCCTTTATGCTGCTTATCTAGAGCTAAGTGAGGTGATGCTTGACCTTTTGGTATTCTTCATCCCCCTTTTAGACCTCACGAACACTTTTTCTCCAGGAGAAGTGGTTTCTAATGCCTCAAGTAGTGTTCCTGTCGATCACAAGGAGTTATGGCTTTGGAAAAACTCATGGAACGTGCTTGACCATGGGTGTCCCAGGGAAGTGGCAGTTGAAGACCTTCAGAATATACTTGTCCCTCCTCCAACCCCAGGCAGAAGGAACTCTAAAGAGCACAAAACACTTGGGCACCATGTTCTTCCACATTTCCGCCGCATAAGAACCCCAATGTATAGGGATAGTTGAGAATCTCTTCCTTTGATTCAAGCAGTTCCCGAGCTAGAGTTTGAGTACAGTCATGCATCGCTTAATGATAGGCATGCATTCTGAGAAATGTGTCATTAGGTGATCTCGTCATTGTGTAAACATCATAGAGTGCACTTACACAAACTTAGATGGTACAGCCTACTGCACACCTAGGCTATGTAGTATAGCCTATTGCTCTGACCACTGTCGTATGTGTGGTCGGTCATTGACCAAAATGTCATTATGTGGTGCATGACTGTAATCAGTTAAAAGCCATTGTACACCAGGAAGAGAGAAAATGTCCAGTTCCAAAAAGATAGTTTTATTCTATCCACTTCCCTCAATTGGGTCATGATAGACCTGTAGATCTTGGCAGGAATATTTCCCTGTAAGTGCCTCATGTTTAGAAGAAAAGAATTCTCAATTCAAGGCTGTTGTCCCTCAGGTGTATCTGATGCTTCAAATCTTCATTATTGCATTTGTGGGATGAAAAGGCCTTCAGAGAGCCATGCCCACCCCAAAATTGATAGAGCCTGCAGGAGGTTGTAACTTGACAGTGCCTGAAGGAGGTTGTAACCCAACCGAAGCCTGTCATGCAGTAACATCGGTCTAGGTGTTGTGTGGTTGAATCAGGCCCACACGCACATAGTCAAGGGCACGGCAGGGATCTTTGAAAATATCTGCCTCAGCTCAGAGAGCCTGTGGAACCTGTTAAAACTCACACAGCACTAGGCTCCGCTCTGGGACTAGACCTCAGGTTCAGGGCTCCCCACAACTACACACTGCCTTCAAATGGGTGGTACATTTCCAGATAAAGGAAATAGCTACCCAGTGGATGCTCTCTCTGGGCTTCCAAAGGCAGTGTATAGTGGACTACCCTCCACTTTTGCCTAGAAAAAATATTTTAAAGAAGTCTGATACTTGATCCTTAAGGCAAAAATGGTGGTACCACCTTATATTACTTTGGACCTTATTTAATCTAGAAGGCCCTATTATGTGTTAGATAATTGAATCAATTAAATGATCAAGAAAATCAAAGAAAGCAGTTGAGTTTCTGTGAGAAGTAGAATTTTCCATTGCTAGGAGCATTTAATTCTTCTGCATTTGTAGCAGCCCATCCAGCCAGTTGGTTCACTCCCAGATCCCCTGGGCAGCCCCTTGAGGTGGCTGTATCCTTCCTGGTGGTCTCACTTCACCCCACCAGCCTGGACCTTTGGCCCTGAGCACTAGAATCTTGATGTCCCCTCATCCCAGCATGATCATACAGCTCACATCATCCTAGCTCTCTCAGGCTGATTTTGTTTCAGAGTTAAGGGCAAGCCTTTGCATAAGACCTGGTCTTCCCACAGATCAGGCCATGGAGACTGCCGAGGCTATTTACTAAGTGTCATAAACCTACATCTCCTGCAAATGTATTCATTTTACTATGTGTGATGTGGGTGTATGGGTGGGGGCTGGGTAACTTTCCAGCAACTACAAGTTCATATCCCCTATTCAGCTTGCCCCTTTTCCAGTACTGAGGCATTTGGCAAAACAAAATTAGTAGTGGGAGGTGATTGGAACCTGGAAGCAGAGCAAGGGAAGATAAATGACTTCAGGGGTATTTTACGTATTTCATGGTAGAGGATAACCATCCCTGCTCTGCCTAAAGGTACATTTACCAACTGTAGTAAATGCCAGGTGCTATAAGCTACACTTTCATTCTGATGAGCAGAGCTGTCTGCACCGCACTCTCTTTTAAACTCCACCCTGACCTTTGGGTTTCTACTGGTCATGACAACATCCTGCTTTGTTAAGCATGTTTATGCTTGTGTGCGAGGCCCCAATTTTGGACCCTATTTTGCACTGACCACATTTTATGTTGGCTCCTTCCAGATGACACCTGGGAAGGTTCCTCAGTCACATCAGTAACGTGTAGATACCACGTTACTGGTAGGAAGGAGTCCTGCAGACAGGGCTGCCGCAGTACCTTTGTGCAAATGAGAATAAAGGCCTCGAGCGGCCATAGCCCCAGGCCAGGGTGGCTGTGGCTTGGATTGTGGCCTCACTCATTTCTTCATGGGATGCACTTGGCAGGCACCACCAGCCCTAGGGCCTCCACTGGACAGCTGGTGACTAATGAAATTGTGCATTGAGCAGCTGCTGTGTGCCAGGTACCAGGCTAGGCCATGGGGCACAAAGGCGGTTGCCATGCCAGCTCTGTCACTACAAGCTTGCAGGCCAAAGAGCTTGTCAGTGGGATGGAAAGTAGCTGCAGGAGCAAAGGCCTGGTGCACGTGAGGACCTGCGAGCAAGCAAAAGGACCAGAATGGGATTGTGGGTGCAGAGGGATGCGTCCACCATGTAGGCAAGAGCCAGCCCATGGACAGGAGGAGGGCATAGGGAGGCTGTCTTTTGACCCAGACATCTTGTCTGCTTTCTGCTCTTGGCATCGAATATTTCTCATTATGCTACTGAGTTAGGCTTATGGGTCCCAAAGTCATAGAAATGAACAATGCACCCAGCAGTAAAGTAAGCAACACTTTATTCAAAGAGATAGACTTATGCATAAGGGAGGTAGCTACAGAGAAGCTAGCCCCCCTAGGGGAGCTGTTCAGGGTCCTTTACAGGGCAAAGGGTTAAGGGATCCAGGCCAGCATCATCATTCTCCACCTCTGGACATGGTCCATTCTGTTCTTCCTGGTTGCATCATGGGTGCATGCTCAGTTAGGGCTTCAGTCCTTGCCCTTGCTCAGTCGATCCAAGATGGTGGTGGTGTTCATTATCATCACCCCAAGAGGGCCAGTGTAGTGGTCACCTTGAAGCTTTGTGCACATGAGGGAATACCTAAAGGGGTCTTAAGGTTAATCTGTGACTTAATTTTTACAATTAGAGGAAAAGAAAGAATGGGTAGGTAATAGCGTTTTAAACAAAGCTAACAGTTACATTTTAAAAAGCCTTGGAGAAGGGCTTTTGCAACTCAGTGAATATCTGTTCCCCTCTTATCTAATTTTATTTTATCATAGCAGGCCATAGAGTAATCATGAGCCCTGGGGGTCTCATGACTGAGGAATGGAAAAGTAACAAAAATGTCCTCTTGCAGAGAAAATGGAGTCAGTTTGGTTCACAGGCCTGTCCCTAGTCTGTCTCGATTCTAGATCTTTCTTAACACCACTTATATTTCAAATAACTTTTTTTTTTTTTTTTTTAGACCGGCCGCACCGCGCTCAGCCAGTGAGTGCACCGGCCATCCCTATATAGGATCCGAACCCACGGCGGGAGCGCTGCTGTGCTCCCAGCGCCGCCCTCTCCCGAGTGCGCCACAGGCTCGGCCCTATATTTCAAATAACTTTAACGTGCTATCTGATTGTAAAAAGTATTTTTTTTTTTTTTTTTGAGACCGGCCGCACCGCGCTCAGCCAGTGAGTGCACCGGCCATCCCTATATAGGATCCGAACCCACGGCGGGAGCGCTGCTGTGCTCCCAGCGCCGCCCTCTCCCGAGTGCGCCACAGGCTCGGCCCTATATTTCAAATAACTTTAACGTGCTATCTGATTGTAAAAAGTAATCCTGCACGCTATAAAACATCCAGGATTCTGTAGAAAGAAAAAAATATTTATCTCTAATTCTACAACCCAAAGATAACCATTATGACATTTTAGAGAATCTCCTTCCATGCTATTATTCTATTTGATTATGTGATTACTAGTGATATTTAATTCCATCCAGTTTATGCACTTAAGGTTTTCTTAATGTTTACTACTACTGAAAAAATTTTTAAATTTTACTAAATATATTTGATTGATCCACAAGCAGAGAATGACTCCCCTCATGCTGTGATATTCCCCTTTGGAGAAGGATAAGTGTTTCCTATTTCCTCCCATTGACTTATGTTTTCTGGAGGAAAAAAGTGGTCACTGAGATGTTGTAATGACTGGAAACTCAAAGGTCAGCAGGGGGGTTAGAAACAGCGAGAGCTGCAGACTAACTTACAATGTGTATCCAGCAGGGTGAATCAGAAAGAGCCCTGGAGCTTATTTGCATGAGACACAAGCCCCCAACAGAGTCAGCTTTTTGAGGCCCGGATGTGGAGGGTTAGTGGTCTGCATAACTAGTGCCGCCTTCTGGTGATTTTCTTGCATAGGCATATAGTTTATGAACCCCTGGGGGTGGGATAGCAGAAACCTGACTTGGCATCTGGTGAAGCCTGTGCTGCCGCAACTAGAGACTACTGTTTTAGATCATTTCACCCAGAATACCTCCAGATGTAAGCCTGTGCTGTGGAGCTGCTGGTTGCCCAGAGCTGTGCACAAGGCAGGCAGCCCAGGCTTCCAGTGCCTGTCACTTTGAGTGTGCTGGTAGGAAGAGCACTGGCCTAGAGCCAGCCTGGATCTGAGTTCCACCTCTGCTGCTCATAGCCATGTGGCCCAAGACAGGGGCTCACCTCCCTGGCCTCTCCCAGCTTGTGTACAAGTGTTCTGGAGGATGAGTACTATTTTATAAATCTTCATCATGCTCCCCTCTCATGTGAGGTGCCAGTGGCCTTTTTACTTTCTGCCATGCTGACATTGGGTTCTTCTCTTTGCCAGGTCGATGAAGAGTACAAGAATCCTCACACAGTGGACAGAGTTCCTCTGGGGAAGCTGCCCCATCTGTGGGGCCAGTCCCTGTATATCCTCAGCTCGCTGTTGGCAGAGGTAGGGGCTTAGTGGCTTCCAGGCTGGAAACCATCTGACTGGAGGGGCAGGGAACCCCGGAGGAGCACAGGGGCTCTCCGCAGGGTGTGGGTGTGAATGTGGTTTGCATCTTCGTGCCTTTAAAGTCAACTGGACTGTGTTGGCTCCAGGCCTGTGTGTCCATATTTACGTGAAACCAGGTCAGGGTCAGCTGGCACTCCCTGTCCCCTCCTGCCAGCATTCCTGGTTTGTGGTTCGTACCTGTTTGAGTTGATGGTCATCAGGAGCTAGAAGCTTCTCGGCGAGGACTAGCACATCTGATCCTGGAAGATCCAGGATTTGGGAAACTACTAGATTGGCTTCAAGCCACCCCTGCCCTGGTCCTAGGCACAGGAAGGACTCTACAGATCTCTCTCCATGAAGAAGCCAGATTTGCTGTGGTGAATTTTGTGTCAGCTATTTCCTCTGACACCCCACAACACGCCCCCTGCCCCCCACAGAAAGTCTACAGCCTCTTGACGCATTTCTTCTTGTTAAGTAAGCATTTACTTGCTCCCAGCTTTTGTTTTAAAATGCAAATGCTTTTGAGCCACCTCAAAATGAATCCCTCAGTCCTAGTGAGTGACTGAGCACTCTGGACCCCTGGAGAGGGGTGTGGGGAAAGGAGCCCAGGGAGGAGAGCCAGGGGTCACCAGCCTCTGAAACTGGCCCAGCCGGTGTGTTCTGGCAGGCTCTAGAGATGGGGCAGGGGGCAGTGGGTCAGCATGCCGCTGGGTTCCTAGTGCGCACAAGAAGACCAAATTAAGGTATTGAGAAGCAGCCCTCAAGAGCTATAGTTGCTCAGGTGGAGCAGTTGTTTCGTGGATATGCCTAGTCAGCCCTGTTCCGTGGGCATGTCCTCGGGGGTAGGAACTGTGTTTTACACTTCATCTTTATTAGTAGAGAAAAATGCATATATCTCCTTTGGAAAGCCAGCCCCGTCTCTGACTAGCTCTGTGACTTTGGGCAGGTCTCTTAACCTCTCTGGGCCTCAGTTTTCTCATCTGTAAAGTGAAGAGGTTGGACTCAATCATCTCTATGATACCTTCCAGCTCTGATTTCTGTGTCAGTGAGATGGGAAACGAGTAATTCCGCTCCCTGCTTCCTCCTCTCCAAAAAAAGGCCTTCATCTTGGCCCTGCATCGGGCCCAGTCTCTCCTCAGAACTCCCAGAATATCTTGATCCCCTCTCTTGGGGCACAGATCCTTTATAGAAAGTGTGAGGAGATGCATGTCCAAAGAGCACACTTTGCAAGGGGAGGGAGCTTTGTGTTTCAGAACAGTCAGCCCTGGGCCACGTCCGGCTCTGCCACTTCGCTTAGGTGCATGACCTCAGTTTTCCCACCTGTAAAATGGTGATGCTGATAGCGTCTACCTGTTAGGAGGCCTGAACATGACAGTGCACATGCAGAGGCTTGGCTCGGCACCTGACACATAGGAAGAGCTCAGGGAGCCTCTGTTACCATTCTCTTCATTCACACAACCTGGTGCTGTTGATTTGACTACCTCTGGAGAGCCAGGTGCCAAAAGTGTGACACATTTGTCAGTGGCAATATGAATGGTCTACTTTGTTACAGAGAAAATAGCGATCAACTTGAAAAATATGAAGAAAAAATACTGAGTATTTTGAGCCCCAAAATATTTCATTTTCAAACTTAGGTTTAAGGTAAAATTTTAGTTAATCAATATTTCATAGTGTTAATGCTCCTCTTTTCATAGGGATTCCTTGCCACTGGTGAAATTGATCCCTTAAATAGAAGATTTTCCACTTCAGTCAAACCTGATGTTGTAGTACAAGGTTTGTGAGCGTGTTTACTATTCATATTTAACTTTGTAAAACCAATGTTATTTTTAATTCAAATTGTTCCCTAGTTTCTTATTTAATAATAAAAAAAGTGTGTCTGTGCATATGCTTTAGCATATAGCAGATCCGTGAAATACCTGATATAACTCAGTAGCTCCCAAAGGCAATGACATCCTTCCCCACCACAAATTTACTTTCTACAAAGCAATTGTTTTCTTTGATCCAAACCTTGATTGCAACTGGGACACAAATGTTTCATTGAGCACCATTTTCCATTACTGTTATTCTTCGGAAGATAGAGTATGAGCCTGGTAAAAACTTAGAACCAAGTGAGGGGCATCCATTCCCCTCTCTCCCTCCTCTCTAGCCAGCTTCTCTTCCAGAGAGGTGGATGCCAGCCAGGGCCGCGTGGCTCCACCTGTCTGTGCCTCAGGTAGCGTGGAAGTGAACTGGGCTCTTACTGGGACAGGTTCTTGGAGCGCACCGATCCCTCCTCCTACCTTCCCACTCACAGAGGACCTCTCAGCAGCGCCGCAGCATTTTTCGTGCCTCATAGACCATCTAATGTCATAGCACATTGTATAATAAGGCATATACATTACTGCCCCTACATCAGACCGTGCACTTCTTCGGGACAAGGTCATTCTTGTAGTTTCTGTGTTGATCGACATGTATGCACATACAGGGAAAGAAACGATTGAGCAAATGAAAAGCATTCCTCCTTGTGGCCGCTGGCGCATTACACCGCACACACTCGTGCCACAATGAGATGAGCCGCAGTCCTTACCCAGTCAGTACTGTGCGCCAGTCCCGACACCAGACACACCTAACCAGCACGACATTCTGAGACGATTGTGATTGTATCTCCATCTTACATGTGAGGCTTGGAGGTTCACCTGCTCACTCAAGGACCCAGAGCTGACTGCTGGAGGTGCCAACCCCTCTGTGACTTCCAGGGAGACTGATCAGCTGGACTCCATGGTCCCTGAGCTTAGTACCTTAAATCTACAAGACTGCTTTCCCAGCTGCAGGTTGGGACACTCTGATGGGTCCTGACCAGCATTTTTTGTTTGTTTGTTTAATAGAATAGAATAGAACAGAATAGAAATTATCAGAGGGTCTGGCACGGAGTCAGAGAAGTTCAGTTTCAGAAACTTACCCACATACAGCTGGATTGGATTGTGAGGTTCCCAGATCTCAATCCAAACCACTTCTTGAAAAGGGTTACTCCTCCAGAGAGTGGCCACTGTGTGGTTTGGATAAATGTAGATTATGGCATGTCATTGGAAGCTTCAGAAGAGACAGATGTTAAGGGATACCACCTGCCCAGTCCTGCATGGCTAATGTTCCCATCTGCTGGGGGCCTTGGGGGTTAGGTGTCAGTCCTGGTTCAGTAAACAGCCAGTGAAGCATGGAAGGCTGCCCTCCGGGCTTGTTATGAAGATCGGATGAGATCATGGATATTAAAATACTTTTAAAACACCAACTGCAATGGAAATATAAGGAGGCGACATTTAGCTCTCAGTGGTATTTATATGTATTGTACATTCAGGCCCTGCCAGCCTGTGGGTACAGTGGTGGGACTGAGCCATTTCTTCTGGCTTGAGTATAGCCCCAACCCCTCCAGTTCCCTGCAGAAGGCTCTGCTGCAGCCAAGCATGGCACCAACCGCTTTCTCTGGCTGTACTCCCCTTCTCCCGTCCCGTCCCCAGACTCTTTCCCTTTGTCAAATCACTGTCCCTTCTCCTAAAGGCTGGCAGTTCCAGTACAGCAGATGTGGCCTAGTTGATCCCTAATGTGACCCCAGGTGAAGGTCTCCCTCCCCCATAGGCCCACCCCCAGGTCCCAGGCACTCTGAGCTTCCTGCCTGTAGGTAAGCCAAGTGCCCAGCCTCACCCCCTGGAGACGGAGCCCAGGCCAGCTCTGGGCTGGCTCTTCCCCACCAGCAGGGCCCAGTGCTGTGGTTCTGGGTGGGCCAGACTGCCCCCACTTCTACCAATATCCCCACTAACAGGCCCCATTTCCTTTCTCTGGAGGGGCAGATGTCACCTCCCTCTTGCCTCCTCAGTCAGAGTATCCCCTGCGAGCAGACTCCACTAGATTGCTCTTTTGTTCCCTGCCCTTCGGGAGCAGGGGCACAGGCTTCTGGCATCTCCTGAGCAGAGCCATTTCCACTCCTGACCCTGGTGAAATGGCACAGGACAGGTCTAGAACAAACGCAGACCCAGAGGGAGGCAGGATATATTTGAGATGGGGTAATTTGGCTTGGGACCTATTGAAGACAATTTCTAGAAGTCTCTTATGAGACTGCCTTGCATGTTGAGGGCACTGGATAAATATGTGTTGCGGGAGTTGAGGGGTGGCAAGGACAGAGAGAACCAGGAAGAGCAGCAGGATGACCATGGCCAGTGCTTGTAGAGCATGCTAAGGTACATGTCATTGGCAGGACAAGAGAGAGCCACCAGTAGCGCCTGTCAGGGTGAGGGGCGAGAGGCTCACTCTGAGGCCCAGTCTGCATTCTTGTTCACAGTCGCTGTTCTGGCAGAGAACAACCACATTAAGGAGTTGCTGAGGAAGCATGGGGTAAACGTCCAGAGCATCGCAGACATTCATCCTATTCGAGTCCAGCCAGGCCGGATTCTTAGTCACATATATGCCAAGCTTGGTAGGTTTGGGGACATGTCAGCATTTTTGGCAAGGGGACACCTCCGTTCTAGGTGTGAGTCTGAGGGAGACTGCGACATATGTAAGGTCAAAAGAATTGGGAGAAGCTCTAAAGCAGGTGGTTCCAGTGGGTGAACGAGCACGCTCTTCTCACGCCTGTTCGGAAGGTTCCTCCAGAAGTAGGCCATACAGTTTGCCAGCTCTGTGGTTAAATAAGGAGCCACCTTTGAAAATTCACAATTGGAAGAGTCGTTTGTGTCTTGATAATGTTTATAATTTTTATCTGTAGTATCAGAAAATGCCTATTTACCCGTTAAAATGGGAGGGGGTTCTCTTTACTTTTTCTAGAATCTGACTTTGTTTAGTATATGGCTCAATACTACATACATTAAAAGTAAATGTTGGGTTGGCCCAGTGGCGCACTGGAGAGTGCGCCGCTTGGGAGCATGGCGGCGCTCCCGCCGAGGGTTCGGATCCCATGTGGAGACCGGTTCCCACTCACTGACTGAGCGCGGTGCGGGCGCAACACCGAGGGTTGCGATCCCGTTGCCGGTCAGTAAAAAAGACAAAAAGGAAAAAAAAAAAGTAAATGTTAATAAAGTCCTTTTAATAGTTTTATTCCATATGGATTGAACCAGATGCTGTTCACAGACATGCACAGGAAGAAGGGGGATGGGATTTCTTTTTATATTCAGCTGGAGTTTGGTGGCTGGCCAGTTAGCTCACTTGAGAGAACATGGTACTGGTACCACTAAGGTCAAGGGTTTAGATCCCTGTACCAGCCAGCCAGCCACCAAAAAAAGAAAAAGAAAAACCAAACTCCAAAGTGGGTTGTCCAACATAAAAATAAGCCTAGCCTCAACCTAAGTCGCTCAGATTACTTGTGACTGTGTTTCATATAACTCCAACTTCTCTTTTATTTTTCAAACAGGACGAAATAAGAATATGAAATTGAGTGGGCGACCTTATCGGCACATTGGCGTCCTTGGAACCTCTAAACTATATGTGATTAGGAATCAAATCTTTACTTTTACACCCCAGGTGAGCTGAGCTGGCCAGTAGCAAACCAACAAGCATCCTTTTATTAAGTTCTCTTTTCTGTCTGGTAAGCTATTTTACTTTGAAAATGGCAGAATTCTGCATACACAGGTTCAGATGGAGACTTATAAAATAACACCCAGTACCTAGTACAATTCTTTGCTCATAGTAGGTGCTCAATAAATGTTGATTGACTTGAATCAAGTGTGCCATCACTTTCAATCATGAATGTTAGTGAAATTCATGCTGCTTTAGAAACTTGCTAGTGACATGTCACTTGACTGGCAGTCCTCGTGCCCCTAGTTGCAATAATCCCCAAGCCTTATGTAGCCTGTTGTCAGACCCTCTGTGTAACACACAGCTGGCTGATTTTCAGTCCCCAGCCCCCTTAACTGGGACACCAAATATACTGATTATGAAACTTATCTTCAGTTTTTATTCCCAAAGAAAACTAGTCCTGTGGAAATGCATGCCAACCATTTTTCATCCATTGGGCAGCTAGAAAAACCAATGGTAGGATCACTTTGTCAGCATGGGGCACAGCCCCCACTTACCTGGGCACACGGTTGGCCTTGGGGTCTTAGGTCAGCAGCCCCCAGCTGCTCTTTTTCATCCTAGCCCATGTGCTCGCTCAGATCTTGTGAATTCTTTCCCTCAGTAACACATTTCAGTCCAGAGCTGAGCATGCACTAGTCTGGAGGCCAGGAGAACAATTGGATTTTCATCAACATCAGGCAATAGTGCTTTTAGTTGATATTAATCAGGCCATCAGTCTGGTAAACAGTTTCCACCTCTCACCTGCTCTGAGTGCCCTCACTTAGAAAGCATCTCCGAACCCAGTGGCCCTGGAAGGAGTAGAGATTAAGGAGTTATTGATTTGCTTTCAGAGATAGCAGTGTTGGGCAAGGTGCTTAAATGCCCATCTGAGGAGCCGAAAATTAATCCAGCAGTGCCCCTTTCCCTTCCGCACTCATGTAGTGATGGCCCCTGGGCAGGGGACAGACTGATTTGCCTGATCTCAAGGGGAGCAGCCCCATGGTCAGGTGGGTTCAAGCCAGCTCTGGAGCCCCTTCCCTGGCAGCAGAACTCAAAGATAAGTGCTGCCCTGGGTGGCAGCCAGTGGTGTTTTGAGATAAAGGAAGAGCAGCCTTTGACCTGGCCTGTTCTGACTTTCAGTTCACTGACCAGCATCACTTCTACCTGGCCCTGGACAACGAGATGATGGTGGAGATGCTGAGGATTGAGCTGGCCTACCTGTGCACCTGCTGGCGGATGACGGGCAGACCCACACTCACCTTCCCCATCACCCACACCATGCTCAGTAACTCCGGAAACTGGATCTGGGGGTCCGCCCCAGGGGTGGTGTGGGCCCTTTTCCTCATGTTTAAAACAGCTTCCAGGGACAGAGCTGAGTACTGAAGTAGATTCTTAGCAGTTTGGTTTCTTGTCAGGAATCTTCTATGCCATAAGTTTGTGGGTTTTGGGGGTTTTTTCTTTTTTTTGTTTTTTTTTTGGTAAGTGGCTGGTTCGGGCATCTGAACCCTTGACCTTGGTAGTTACAAGGCTGTGCTCTAACCAACTGAGCTAACCAGCCAGCCCTCATAAGTATTTTAATTAGAGTGTGTTGATGAAAACATTTCAGTGCATACCAGGAAAAAAAAAAGTATTTCTAGATTAAGTAAACTAATTCATCACTGTTTTTCCCCCTTAGTAAATGATGGCTCAGACATTCATTCTGCAGTTCTTTCTACAATTAGAAAACTAGAGGACGGATACTTTGGCGGAGCTAGGTAATTTGTGATTTTTTTTTTTTTAATAAGAGTAGCATTGATCTTTCTTAAAGTCTTTAGCTGCCCTTCTCCCATTTTTCTTATTAATTGCTGAACCTATAAGCATGAAATTTTAGAGTGGGAAGTTAAAACTTATCTGATCCAGTCCGAGTGAAACTTGAATCATCTCTAAAACAGCATTCAGTTGGTGTCTTTTAAGCTTTGATGGGTGCCGGGGGCCCCAGGCACAGAGAGGTCAATATATCAAGTCTCTCTGAAGGAGCATTCTTCTTGGAACACAGCCTTTGTGGAGAGCTGTGTATGTTTCTGTTAAAAGACATGGAAGAAAACAGCCAGTGCCTAGGATCCAGCAGGTCTCAAGAAACACTTGTTGAGTGGAATGTGCAAACGCCTTACGAATAATGCACAGAACCTGACAGATCCCTCAGTGGCCCTCAGAGCAGAGTATCTGAATGGGCCTGCATAGAGCACTGTCCTCTCACCCTCAGTGGAATGACATCCACTCTGGTTACCAGGCCCAGAACACAACAGCCGCTCCCAGGTTTTATGCTTAAGCGCCTTAAGGAATAGTGGGCTCACCCTCCAGGAAAATCCCTTCCATCTTTGTGCCCTCTGACTGTCACAAGGCAGAGGATTTCTCTATAGCTCTGCCCTCAAATCCCTGAACCCCCTGGGATATGCCAGCAGGGCCCCAAGAGAACCTCGCTGTGTAGCCTGCCCTGGTGTGGCCTTTCGAAGGATCAGGGAGGCTTCTATTTGGTCCCTGATGGGATGCCCATTGCTAAAAGTGTTGGGGAGTTGAAGTCACACCTTCTTCTCACATTCTCCCACCCCAGGGACCCTGCTACTACAGCAAAGTCACTATCATTGTTTTTAAATCGTGGTAAAGTACATATAACATTACCATCTTAAGCATTTTTAAGTGTACATTTCAGTAGTGCTAAGTACAACAGATCTTCAGTTCTCTTCTTGCAAAACTGAAACTCCGTACCCATTTAAGGACTCCCCATTTCTTCCTCCCCCCAGACCCTGGCAGCCACCATCCTTTCTGTCCCTATGAGTTTGACTACTCTAGATAGCTCGGATAACTGGAGTCATACAATAATACAATCATGCATTACTTAATGACAAATACGTTCTGAGAAATGCGTCGTTAGGTGATTTCGTTGTGTGAACATCACAGAATGCACTTACACAAACCTAGAGGTACAGCCTACTGCACACCTAGGCTACACAGTATACCTATGACTCCTACCGAGTAATGCACTGTGCTATGTGACCTTGCAATGGCTATAACATCACTAGGCAATAGGAATTTTTCAGCTCCATTATAATCTTACGGGACCACCTGCAGTCTGGCTGTCATTGACCAAAATGTCACTCTGCTGCACATGACTATATTTGTCTTTTTGTGACTGGCTCATTTCACCTAGCATAATGTCCTCAAGGTTAAGTCGCTATATTTCTAACTCTAGCCTTGGGCAATTTGCAGGCTGTCTGAGGTTGGTTTTGCTGTAGACTTGAAGTGGCCCTCGATCCAAGCTTCTCCTGGCCTCTTGGGAGTGTCAGTGAGATTGTCCCCAGTGTTGTGCTGTCTACATTTCCAGGGCTGGCACCAAAAGTGCAGTCTACATTTACTTTTGTACATTTTACCTCCAGATTGGATAAGTCACCGCCTGGTGTATGGCGTCATGACCGAGAGAAAATATCACAGGACCGTAATTAACCATTTTGCAAAATAAATTCTTTTATGGAAGTCTAATCATCATAGAAAGGGTACCATCTGCAGTTCACTGAGCTTGCAGTGCACTATCCATTTTGTGTCATTTAGTCCCCGCTTTCTGACATGTGCTTTGTTCCTGTTTGATGGACAAGGAACTGTAGGCTCAGAGAGCCAGGGCACAAGGCAAGATTCAAAGCTCCGCTCAGGGAACAAGTTCAGTGAAATGCAGACAGTACCCTTTCTAGGATATATACACAGTGGAATACCACTTAGCCATAAAAAAGAATGAAATTCTGCCATTTGCAGCAACATGGATGAGCCTGGAGAAAATCATGTTAAGTGAAACGACCTAGCACAGAAAGAGAAATACCACGTCCTCACTCATAAGTGGGAGCTGAATTAATAAGTAAACAAGTAAACAATAAAGAGAGAGAGAGAGAAAGAAAGAAGCAGCAATCACAATGATATGTTGAACTTTTAGAAGGAAGGAACAGAATTGTGGTTACTAGAAGTAGAAAGGGGGAAAGGGAGGGGGTTAATGAGAAATTGAGAAATTAGTTAACGGACACAAAGTAGTAATGAATTCGTAGTAATGAATAAGCTAACTATCCTGGTTTGACCATCACATACTATACACAACTATTGATAGTCAACTTTCTACCCTACAAATACGTGTAATCAATTATGCTTCAATTAGGAAAAAACAAAACAAAACTGCGTGAATCCAGACCCAGCCTATAACCCCTCACCAAGCTGCCGGAGAGCTCCCAGCCTCCTGTTTATAGAGCTGGCTAAGGATCCATCATCCGTTAGAGAACTACAAGAAACAGGAATGCCTAGGCTTCCTACTCAGTTCTTGATAATTAAGGTTGAATCCCATTTTGGCTTTTCTTCTAGGTCTGAGATTTTTAAAAAGCTGAACTCACACTACATGCTGGACTTTATGCCCTGAATCCACTTGGGGTAGCTTGCTATCAAAAGGCTTTTTAAATGACTGCTCTCTGCCTTTGAGCTCTCTTTAGCCTAATAAACCCAACTTCTTTCACCTTCATCGAAGGAAAACTTTCCATTGCCTTTTCCACCCTCCAGCCTGCCTCCTCCTTTTCCCCAGCCACCTTAGAACTGGTCCCAGGGCTCTGGGTGGGGGGACATTTTTACTCTGTTCAAGGAAGGCTTTTCTTTCCCTCAGGCCATCCTACTTGCTATAGCTGAGTGCCCCTGGAAGCTCTAGCACCTATGAATATATTTGCACTGCATGCTTCAATTTAGTCCTTAACTCCTCTCTCAGCCACTCCACTCACTTATTTTCTGCCTCCTGATTTAACATTTTAAGGTTTCCTTCTGTAGGGTGGAAATCCTGGTCTCCCATTGCCTGGGGTGGACCTGCAGAACTCCATCCAGGCTGCTGCCTCTGCAGCAGGACCCCAGGCTCCCAGTTTTCAGTGGAAATTTTCCCAGCTTAATGTAATAGGGCATCTGCTACAGTCTCAAATTCCTTCTAGAGAGAACTTCGCCTCTTCCATCATAACACTCCATGCCTGTGTGACTGCATTTCATGGTAGGAATTCCTAAATAATGGCACAAGTGTGCCCAGAGAATTGAGGCTTCTGGTCCAGTCCTTGTAGGGCAAACAACAAAAGCAAAAGCAAAAAAACATGGATTGGTTCTGGTGAAAAGTGGTTTACTCAGTATATTTTGTAAAACTTTTGGTTGTTTCAGTAAAATAGATTTGCATTTGTATCGGGTTTGAGAATATGAAATCAGCATGATTCATTTGGCTTTTAATATGCTGTGTGCTTTTACTTCATGCTTGCTATTGAATTTTTGTTTTAATTTCTTGGCTGACTACTTATATGGAGCAATCTGCAGAGTAATGTATTTATTGGTTCTGGCAGAAGCGCCACCTGGTTGTTGAAAAGTCTCTTAGTGATTCATAGAGGAAGTTTGTCCACACTCCCCCTGTATCCCTGACGTAGTGTCTTCTTGGCAGGGTAAAATTAGGGAACCTTTCAGAATTTCTCACCACATCATTCTACACATACCTGACCTTCCTGGATCCAGACTGTGACGAGAAGTTGTTTGATGATGCCAGTGAAGGGACCTTCAGTCCTGATAGTGATTCAGATTTGGGAGGATATTTGGAAGATACCTGTAATCAAGGTAAGGCTTGGAATGCTTTCGTGGGTGATTCCTTGAATTTATTTAAACCTTGGTTGGGGGGCCGGCCCATGGCTCACTCGGGAGAGTGTGGTGCTGATAACACCAAGGCCACGGGTTCGGATCCCATATAGGGATGGCCGGTTCGCTCACTGGGTGAGCGTGGTGCTGACAACACCAGGTCAAGGGTTAAGATCCCCTTACCGGTCATCTTTTTAAAAAAAACAAAAAAAACCTTGGTTGGCATTGTGGTAAAATTACCCTAAGACAAGTACAGAAAATGATTGATAATTAAACTAAAAATAAAAACAAACAAAAACAAAAAAAAAGAAACTTCTGAAACTTGTATCTGCAAGGGTACTTCAAAAAGTTCGTGGAAAAATAGAATTAAAAGATAATACAAATCTTTCCACAAACTTTTTGAAGTACAAATGTTATTTTAAAAACCTAAACTACAAATGATGCCCTTGAAAATGGGGCTTTTTAAAACCCAGAAGGACAAAGAATTTTAGGAATGAGGACTTTTCACAACATATATTCTGAAGACAGAAACACACTGCTTGAATTTTCAAAGGAATGGTAGAACAACCTAGGTTTGACTGGATATGAGTGTTGAACTAAAAGAAACTGTGGTTGAACATATACAGCAGGATTTATTGAGCCAGTATGACGATTGCAACCACAAAACACATAGGTTAGGTCACCCTGAGAAATGCATTCCTAAGAGGGCCAGCATAGCTTAGCATTTTATAATCCTGAGAAGGGGGAAGGGTCAAAGGAGAGAGAGTACAGCCCCACCTAATTGCTTCATCAGATCTCCTATTGCTTGTACATGACCTATAGATTTGGGATTGTCACTGGCTTGCATCCTACATGCAGGGATCTAGGGTAAGGGTTACAAGAAGCATTCTAGGTGATTTTATGGCTTTCTGTTGCCATTATGTCTGCTTCTGATGTTTTCCAGGACAGGTGGACGTGATACTGACTTACCCCAGATCTCCCAAGGCACTATAATTTAGCTGACCTGGTCAGAGCAGATTTTTTGGTTATCATGGGTGATGAAACCCTGTGTATATATCATTTCCCAATTTGAACAAGGCTAAAGTCACCTGTTTTTTACTTTTAGATAGTAGTTGGGATTTGAGCTGGGAATTCCATAAGGCTTAGCTTGCTCATAACAAAAAAAGGCCAGACATGAGCTGCCATCCTTCAGATTGTCTTACATATTATTCAGTTCATCTTGGGATGATGTGGTGTAACACTATCTTGACCTGTGTTTTCTTTTCCTGAGATGAAGTTTTCCAAACAATAAATTTATACACACTTCCATTATCTCTGTAAATTCTTTTTACTCTTGGGGTTGGGAGGTGCAGATAACTCTATCTAAACATTGTCTTCCACTAAATCTACTTAGTGCTGCATGCTACACACAGTCAGTGTTATGCGTTTAGGATATTTCTGCAGCTTGTTTTCATTGTTTTTTGTTGTTGTTGTTGCTTGTCCAATTACAGAAAGCCAAGATGAATTTGACCAGTATATCAACAACCTTCTGCAAAGCACGTCTTTGAAGTGCTACCTGCCCCCTCTTTGTAAGAAGACAGAAGACCGCTATGTTTTCAGTGCCGTCCACTCCACTCAGGACATTCTTTCCCTGATGGCAAAAGCAAAGGGTTTCGAAATTCCATGTATGTTATTAACTCTTTTCTGCCTGTTTAGATATCTTCTTTGATCAGTAATATTTAATTCTAGAAGACAACAAAATGTCCCCTCCATCCTTCTAATTAGAGGTGACCACTTTCAACTGTTTTAGCTGTTTCTTCTGGTACTTACATATCTCCATATTTCTAAAAGAATGCGTGTATACTGCTATCTTATGATGCATTGATCTGATTTGGTACCTATTGACTTTCTATTTTGTGGGTAAGGATTTAGCTGTCTTAAATCACCACTCCTCTGCTTCACTTCCCCTAACCTACTGAGGGAGTTTTATTAGAGTTTAGTTAAATCAATATTCACACTTTATATTATTGCATGTATGCAAATATTATTCCCAACCAAGCATTATAGTATACTATGATTATATTACCATTTTTACTTTTTGTTTTTTCTAAAGTTAATAGTTTTCATTTGCTTTGCCCTCTTTCTATACCTACCAGTGGCCTCACAGTACAGATTTCCACAAGGTCAGTTATATCAGAGAATCTCTCAATTCCACTACTTTTCTTAGAGTCCACACCTCATTTTATATGGGCTGATTGCATGCTTGGCCTGTTACATCCCTGTCATCCTAGGAATTTCCTTGGCTCATCTCTTTAGCTGGATTTCCTGTTTCCTGAATCTGGCATGTTCCCCTTTCTCAGTTTATTCCCTTGTTTTGGTGGAGCACATTCCAGAGTAGTTTCAATAGGTTAAAAAAAATGGCACAATGGAAGAGGGCATGGTGATGACAGCCCTCAACTTGCTTGTTTCTGAAGTTCACTGCCCCTTCTGGCTTGTTGCCTTCCATGTCTGGGTTGTAATTTTCTTCCTGGGATCTTCCTTCATTATCATCCCAGAGGGGTCCTTGACATGACATGTCTCCTGAGTTGACTCTCCTGTTTTCTGTATCTCATCTCTTCTTCTTTCTTTGTTCACTCTCTTATTTTGGTGGAGTATATATCCAGTAGTTTCCTGAGAAACTATGCATGGTGGGTAAAATTGTTGAAATCTTGCAAGTCTGAAAACATCTGCAAATATTCTATATCCATTTGAGGGTTAGCTGAGTATAGAATTCTAGATAGAAAATACATTTTTCTTGAGATTTTTGAAATGTAAACCCATTCTGATTTTTGATCCTTCAAATATAAACTGTTCATCTCTTTGAAAGTTCTTAGGATCGTCTCTGCTCCCAGATTCTGAAATGTCAGTGATGCACCTTGATCAAGGTGTGTGTTGGCTACTCCAATCTGGAAATTTATGTTTGTCAGTCCTGTAAAGTTTTTCTGAAAAGTTTCTTGACTCATTTCCTTCCCAACATTTTCTCTGTTCTTTCTGGTATTTCTGTGATCCGAGTGTTGACTTCCTGGAGAAGTCCTTATTGTTTCTCTTCTGTTTTCCATTTTTCTGTCTGTTCTGAGGGCAATCACCTCAACTTTTTGTTTCATCGCCTCAGTTGAATTTTTTCACTTTTGCCATCATGTTTTACATCTTTGTTCCCCAAATTGCATTCATTCTTGTTTCATGCATGCAACATAATTTTTTATTATTCTAAGAATATCAATGGCAGGGCTTTTTTGTTTGTGTGTGTGTGTTTACATTTTCTTCTTTCTGAATGATTTCCATTCCTCCCAAGTCACTTTTTTCTGTTTGTTTAGGATTCTTCTTCCACAGTAAGTCCTTTCTCCAGTGTCTAGTGCTCCTTAGTCATCCACTCGTGCATGAGAATCCCTAAGCATGTGGGTGGGCTTGTTGGCTAGGGTTCCAGGGTGTGGGCTGATCAGATTTCCCAGAGATACCTACGGCCTCCTGTTTGATCTCCTACTTGAAGGGTAAGGGTCTGCTTGCCTGGAGCTATACAGTTGCTTGATTCCCCTAAGGAATGTCCTCAGGCCTTCCGAGTGCTGGTCAGCCCCCCACCCCTTTTACCCTCTTCAGAGAAACCCTCTAGTTTTCAGTCGGAGTGAGGAAGGCCAAGGTGTGTGCAGTGGAGGAGGGCATCTTGGGTGCTCACTGCATCCCCATAGCTTCTCCCCAGCCTTCCTGACTCTGGACACCCCCTTGGTACCCCAGTTCTAGAGGTACGCAGTGCAGCAAATTCCTAAGACTTCCAAGGATTCACGTATGTAAATCTGACTAGTTCTTGGATTTCCCCACTACAGACCTGGGAGTTTGGCTGACTCACGTCTGCTAAACTGCCTTTCCTTCAACTACCAGCTTTCCTGCTTCTGAAAGTTTGTCACTCTTATCTTCTCTCCTGCTTTTCCCTGTTTTTGAGGACTTGTCATATATATATATATATATTTTTTTTTTCTCCCCCGTAGTGTTAGTGGGGGTTTGGGAGGAAGTAAAATTACACTGTGTGCTCAGTTCACTAGTATAACCTGGAGGTCTATAAATACCTTTTCAATATGCATCATCTTTACCTTGAAAACTTCTTATTCTTTTGAGACAATATGATATAGCCTAGAAGACAGAGAAGGTTTAACGAATAAATATTGATAATGGTAACATCCCAGGCTGTTTAAAAAAAAAAGCCCTAGTACCTGGCAGTGGCAAAGTGAAACGCATACTGGACAGGAAGCGCAGACACCTTGATTATGGAAACCCCAGTGACCTTGGACAAATAGTCTACCCTTTCTGGGTCTCAGTTTCCTCATCTGGAAGAAAAAGCTGTCAGGCACAATCACTTCAAGGCTCTTCCCAGTCCTAAGATGCTGTGTGATTTTCCCTGAATTCCAGGAGGGAAAAGTGAAATTCAGCTCTTAAATCCACATCCTTCCTGCTCATTTCTTGTTCCCAGATTTAGCACTTGATGCGGCTACATGATAAATTTTTGTTGAAAATTAAACTAAGTAATCATTCCTTCAGTTGGGTTGCATTAAGTAAGGAGTAGCTACCAGACCTCTCAAAAGAAGTATTTTATTGTTCTTCCTCCTCAGAAGGGCTCTCTTTATTCTTTTGTTTTCCAGTTCCCATGACTTTGCCAACTAAAGTTCTAAGTGCCCACCGGAAATCACTGAATCTTGTTGATTCTCCTCAGCCACTCTTAAAAAAGGTAAAGCATTTGGAATAGCTTTTTTAAAAAAGTATAATGCTCTGTGATGCTGGGTTAGTTCCAAGAACTCTTTTAAATGATTGAACTTAAAAGAAAGAGCACATTTCTTGATATGCGGGACCTTTAGGTTTAGAAGCGCTGGGTTTTGAAGTGAACCCAGTCACTTATTGTCTGGAATGGGATTTGCATCAGTATGTGCATTGAATTTGATGCAAACCCTCACATTTTGCCTGTACAAAAGGGCTACTGCCTTCTGCCTAGTTGTCAGAATCCATGTAGCACTAGAGGAAATAAACTAGCTCACTCCCTAGCCCTGTCCCATCTGTGTCAGCCAGCCAAGACTGGACTGCTTGCAGAACAGGGTGCGGGACTCTTTGTTCCTAGTGTTCTAATGTAATCAAAACTGGTAAAAAAATAAAATAAAAATTCCTCAGGAGAATAAAATCTTAGGGTGTTCCCCACTGATTCCCATAATTTGTTATTCCAGAATCCTCCCCTGATTTTATCCTACACGAATAGAAAGATTCAGTGCCTGTTGGAGGATATTTTAACCTAAATTCAATTTTAAATTGTTTAAAACATACTTTCTGCATTTGTTTTGCTCTCAAAAAAGTATTTATTGAAGTATAACATATATACAGAAAGGTGCATAAAGCATGTATAGAGCTCAATGAATTATCACTGAGCCAGTATATCCGTGTAAATGGTCACTTTCTGTGCCCCCTCTCCATCCCTCCCCTTCTCTTCCTCCCCATCAAGTCCAAAGATAACTGCTATCAGGATTTTTAACACCAGAAGTTAGTTGTGCCTGTTTTTGAACTATGCATAAATAAAATTCACAAATATTTTAGCCTGCTCAGTCCAATCTCTTGCCAACATTGACCAACACAATGATTCACTGGCCAAAAATAGTAAAAACCTATAAATAAGAAGGTACAAAAGAGTTACTGAAAAACTGGAGCAAGCACAGCGACAGTTCAAAGACCAGGTTGGTGTTTCACTCCCTGATCTTCTGCAAGTTCCCACACTTAGCCCCTCTCCCTGCTTTTTGGCTTTTGTATGGCCAGGCTCCCGAAGGTGACTTCCCGTGGCCCAGAGATGACCGTGGTGACGTGGACTGTGAGAAGCTGGTTGAGCAGCTAAAAGATTGTGTGAACCTGCAAGACCAAGCAGACATTCTATACATTCTCTATGTAATAAAGTAAGTGTCTTAGTCTGTTTGGATTGCCTTAACAAAATACCATCAACTAGGTGGCTTATAAACAGCAGAAATTTATTTCTCACAGTTCTGGAGGCTGAAAGTTCAAGATCAAGACAGATTCCGTGTCTGGTGAGGGCCCACTTTCTCATAGATAGCACCTTCTTGCTGTGTCCTCACGTGGTTGGAAGAGGCAAACTGGCTCTCGGGGCCTCTTTTATAAGGACATTAATCCCAATCATGAGGGCTCCACTCTCATGACCTAATCACTTCCCAAAGGCCCCACCTCCTACTACCACCTTAGCGTTTGAGATTTCAACATACGTGTTTTAGGAGGGACACAAACATTCAGATCATAACAGTGAGTTTATGGTCTTCACTAGACTGAGCTTTCTCGGTTCTCCTTCTTTTTCCTAGTCTTCTTGGCCTTCTAGCAAGCCTGGGTCATGATTATACTCCCCAAAATTACCCAGCATCATCGTGAAGGAGACTTCCATCCCCTTCTCTGCCTCCCAGTACGAGAAGGCTGGATGAGGCCAGGATCCCACTGTGTCCTGATGCTAGGATTCAGTTTCTAAAGACATAGGGATGCTTTGGTAGGACGTAACTTCGTGAGACACGCAGACACTTGGAGCGCTCAAGCACTTGGCAAAACACGCAGTGATTCATTCCTTTCCCAGCCTACAGACATTACAAGCCGTATTTCTAGGTTCTTCTACCTCTTGACAGGGGTCCCAGCTGGGACACAAATCTCTCCGGACAGCACGGGGTCACCGTTCACAACCTTCTCAGCGAGCTCTACGGGAAAGCCGGCTTGCACCAGGAGTGGGGTTTGATTCGCTACATCTCAGGCCTGCTCAGGAAGAAGGTGGAGGTCCTGGCCGAGGTCAGAGCAACCAGCCAGGTTGTCCCTTTGTCCTCTCTTGCCCCGTGCCTTCTTCCACTGCCAGTCTTCCAGTTATGAAGGCTTGAAGCAAGTGCTTCTTATTCATATGGGAGACCAGTTCTTTAATCTCAAAATGAAGCAGACCCTCCTCTCTTGACCTCCCACTGCTCTGGGAAGGCGAGCAAAAGGAAGGAAATTTCAAGTGGATTCATTTGATTCTTCCTAGCTACAGAGAAAGGCTCACCAAGAAATCAAATGAAAACACTCTGTGCCTGCCTGGCATCCTCTTAAACGGAGCTCTCTTATTTCTGCACATCCTCAATACAATGATCATTAGTATTTATAACCCCAAGACCCTGCAAAACCCAGAGCCACTTTCTAAGACATTCAGGTTCAGTGTTATGATGGTGAGGTGATAGTATTTATTACATGTGAATCATGAGGAAACGGAATTTAGGAGTAGAACATGGTCATTAACTCTTACCATTGGTAACTTAGGACTCAACCCCACCTTGTTGAATATCAGGGCATCCGATGTGTATGCTACAGTGATGGGCATTAAATTCCTACTGGTGGCCCCATAGAGCCAGGCCTGCGGCCACACATTGGAAACACAGAGATCAAGGGGACTTAGTGCTGCCTGGGTTGCTCAGTCTGGGGTCTAGGTATGAATTTTCAAATAAAGGGTAACATGGATCATAGTTTGTAATGGTCAGTTTATAATCTTATTGGCAGTGACCCCTCCCAGTTAGCTTTGCTCCCTCTCCCTCTCTTGCTCCTGCTCCCTTTCTTTTTCCTAAATGCACAGGCCTGCACAGACCTGCTGTCACACCAGAAGCAGCTCACGGTGGGCCTGCCACCTGAGCCCCGGGAGAAGACCATCTCTGCGTAAGTCCTCGGCCCTGGGGACCTCAGGGTTGTGGGGAGCTGTGGGGAAAAGGCCAGTGATTTCCACTGTTCAGGAGTAGGAGCTTTTTAAAGACATTGTCACATGGGCACTTCTAGTAGAGAAGATAAGGCTCTTCTGCGGAGGGCCAGGAAGCACCTTCTCATGTTGGTGACCCAGTGCTTCATCCTAGGCCCCTTCCCCCAGAGGAACTCACAAAACTCATCTACGAGGCCAGTGGACAGGACATCAGCATCGCCGTCCTCACACAGGTCAGGGGCTGGCAGGGGAAAGCCTGGGGCACATCCTTGCTAGAGGACAGGGGCCTCTTGACTCCCCTTCTGGGCCTCTGAAAGCCTGTCTTTGTGTGTGTGTGTGTGTGTGTGTGTGCGTGTGTCAGGAGATCGTGGTTTACCTGGCCATGTACGTCAGGGCCCAGCCCAGCCTCTTCGTGGAGATGCTCAGACTCCGGATTGGACTGATCATTCAGGTGATGGCCACGGAGCTGGCACGGAGCCTGAACTGCTCAGGTGAGATGCAGATGGCTCCTACCCTGTCCTAGTGCCAGTATCCCTGGAGCAAGCTCAGGCTTTACCAGGTTCCCTCATCTCTATGTGACTTCCATCACGCCATGCAGCGCAGGGGCTGAAGTTCCTAAGTCAGAACCATTAGAATCTTCTGTTCTGCGCCTGACATCTAAACTACTTACAGGATGTCCTTGCTGTGAGATGTCATCCTCCATTTCATAACACCTTAACTGGGAGAAATCCTACCAATTTCAATATAAAAATCAATTGCAAGACACGTCCCAACATCAGGGATTAATCAGGACAATTGGAAAAATTATGCATCTAAGAATTAAGCAAATACACGATTTAAACAGCAACATTTAGCCTCACCAAGTGCATTTCCACCCTGAAGCAACCATGAGGCACTTATGACAAGAAGACCTGCCACAGCATCCTTAGTCATCCCCATCCAATCCATCTAACTCTACCTTCCCCTGCCACCACCCTGTGTCTGGGACACTTGTATTTGTTTTTAGGAGAAGAAGCTTCTGAAAGTTTGATGAACCTCAGCCCTTTTGATATGAAAAATCTCCTGCACCACATTCTAAGTGGGAAAGAGTTTGGTGTTGAAAGAAGCAGTAAGTAGGTGCTCCTGTGCAGGCGCAGCCTCCTGTCTGTGCGAATCTGCAGCAGTACTAGCGACTTGGGACAGGGTTCCTGCTTTAACCACATGGACAGAGTCTGAGGCTCATGGTTCCTGCTCTCGGGGCTTTGGAATGGCCTTGCAGGTTTGCTGGGAGAGCATTTCCGCCGCACGTTGGAATGACACGGGGTCATGGTGTGCACGCCTCTGCACCCTGCCATAAACAGGCACTGTCACATGTGCACAAGGGTTGGGGGGGTGGCCCCAAGTGTCAGGATGAAAGGGCTGTCCTCTCAGATTACCTGAGTGTCCCAGCCTTTGGTTTGGGTAAAAGCGTTCTCCACCAGGCCCCACACGACCCTCCAGGGGACAGGGAGAAGACCCCCCTATGACCTCCCAGCACGTGCGAGCTGAGTTAGTGTGTTTGTCTCCGTCTTGCCCGCTTGGTTTTTATCTGTACCGGAACCCTGCTTGCAGTACTAGGAAACAGAATCTCCTGAGTTGTGGTGTGATTCTTGTTCTCAAATGCTCCCTAATTATAATTGGAGCAATTATCATTTCTCCTGCTCACATAAAAGCTAAATGATTTGCAGACACATTGGTGAATTTATTTCATCAGGCCAAAGAAACGCACTGTGGGCTGTCATTCTTTTTATTTAATAAGAAGGACATTGGGTACTTTGTATTTTTCCCAAGTGTATGCCAGCTGAACAAAGATGCACAGTGAAATCAGATATGTGTTAGGGGCTTTTCTCCTTTCCAGAAGGAGGAGGACGCGAGATCCTTTTCCAAAAGTAATTTCCAGTTCTTTCCAATGCACAATCCTTGAAATGGAAATGGACAAGACAAATATTTAATGTATTCTGCTCATCATAAAAGTATACATGATTTGACACATAATTACTAAAAATTTGTCATTAGATGTAAAGCTATAGATGCTTATGAAAGTAGGAACCAAGTAATGTCATTTGAAAGCCATAAATATGTCTAATTGCAAGTAAGGACAGAAGACGTGCTGTCTTTTTAAAATATAACATCATTGTTAATTGCCCTTTGTAACCTTTCAATTTTTATAAATTATGAAGCTCAAATATGCTTGGTATTTTGATTAAATCTTGAGATGTCTGAGTTGGATATTTCCAGCATATACGCACCAGACAGGCGCTCCTGAAGCTTCCCAGACCTTCTGGCTTCTGTGTCCCGCTACCCTGCTGTCCCTCCTCCCTCTCCCACTGACACTGTGTCTTCTTCAGGGGTTCCACCCTCTCCACTGTCCTTTAAATGCTGGTGTCCCTCGGTTCCTTATTTGTCTCTACTCCCCCTGGGTAGTGCCCCCTGCTGCCTTGGCTTCGGTGGGGCTGGATGAGAAGCGGCCTCTGAGCTTGGCCTAGGTGGCCGGGAGGCAGCAGCGTGCCAAGTGCGGCTGGCCCGGGGTGGGGGCCATGGGGGCGGGTAGCACCTCTGTCAGTAGTGCTTCAGGCTTTGGGTGGCTGGGGGGGTTGTTTGAGCTTTATCCTGAAGACAGAGTTGGGCCTGGGAGGATTCCGCGTGGGCAGTGACATGATCAACTTTGCTTCTAGAATGATCACTGTGACCTCAGTGCAGAAGCAGGCTCGTGGTGGGCAGGGCAGGTTCAGGTGGAAGTCCCAAGGCTGGTACAGTAGGTTGGAAGGAGAGCCTGCCTGCCCTGCCCCTGGCCGCCTGGCTCTCCCAGCTCTTCCCTCTCTGGCTTGAGGCCTCCATCAGGCTGCACCTGCTCTGCCCCCTCCCCTTCAGTTTGCTCCTGGCCCCGCAGGCCTGGGCTGGGCACTGAATCCTCCTGTTGCCCCTGGGCATTCACAGCTGCACCCAGTGCCCAGGCAGGGCCTGATAGGGGGAGGTGCCGGATATGCAAGGGCAGATGAGGCCCTTGTCTGATGGAATTTATAATCTAATCGAGTGGGGGAGACAGACGCAGGTCCAAGCACCTGGCCTGGATCCCCCCCACTCTGCCCCCGTGGGTGCTGTCTGGCTCCTAAAGCATGTGTATGTGTGTTTCCCCTCCAGTGCGCCCTATCCACTCCTCGACGTCCAGCCCTGCCATCTCCATCCACGAGGTAGGACATACTGGAGTCACCAAAACGGAGAGGAGTGGCATTAGCAGACTGAGGAGTGAGATGAAGCAGGTAAGAACAGCGCTGCAGCGGCGGCAGCCAGAAGAAGTTGTTTCCCGCTAGGCTAACCTCCAAATGTGACAGAAAGCCAGGGTGTCAGGCTTCAGCCTGCTCTTTGTAGAGGACGTGAGGTCCCTCTGTCCTGGCATCTGAACACACCCCTGTACCAGATAACCCAGAGCTGCTCACGCTTAACTTGAACATGATGTTATATGAACGTTCTGGAAAACGCCTTTGTCCATGTTTGCCTCTGTTCTCAAGAACTGCTCTTTCGAGTGGGCCTCAGCCATTTAAAAAGTAGAGTCTGGCAGCAAATCCCTGAATCATCTCTCCATTAAATGTGTCCTTCAAATGAACTAGCAAGAGGATCTGGAAATAGGCCAGAATGCTCGTGACACCTGCATTCTCCACCATCCACAGGTGTCTCTTTCCTTTGCTCATCTTTATTTAATTCACAGCAAAAATCCTCTTGAACTGACCCCACAGGACTGCAACTCAGCATCTTTTCAGTCCTGTGTGCCACATCCTGTGCTAGGACTAGACCATGACCTATGGTAGAAAATAGAGTTTCCCTCTGACTGTGACCTGCAGTGAGAAATGCATTCGAATTTTCTTCTCAATTTCAAATGCTGGTCATGACGCACTAGACTGAGACCATGACGCAGTAATGGGTCACCCCCTGCAGTTTGAGCAACACTGTCCTGGATTATCAGAAGGTAATAAGAGAAGCAGGATGTTCTTGACTCCAAGCTGGCTTTTGTTTATTTCCTGATGTGTTTTTACTTTCAGATGACTAGGTGGCTTAGTGCTGATGAACAGGTGACACACCTTTGCCTTGTTTCATCCTTTACTGTGAGCACTTCATGTTCTTTCTGGCTTGAATATGGAAGGCTAGGCCATTAAACCGGCTCTGGTGGAGGCAGCTCCACAGGCTGGCAGGCTGTGGCAGGCAGCCCCGGGGACAGGCAGAGCAGGACTTAAAGGCAGGAGAAAGGACCTTGCCCCAGGCCTTTTTAAATCCATTTATCAAACTCTCAGGCTTTGTAGGATACTTTGTAAAAGAGATGGTCCGGGCTCTGCCTCAGTGGGAGTTTCTGTTCAAAAAGAAGGAACGAAATAAGGAACAAAATAGGGAGAAACGTGGTCATTAATCATATCAGTAGAATAAATATTGCTGTTCCTGTCCCCAGATCACCTGAGGGCATTTAACCCTGGAAGTAAAAAATGTCAGGATGCCATTCTTTTATATCACCCTTGTGACATACTTCCTCCTTCTCCCTCCAGAAAATTCGAGTCACATTTCTAATGCTTTCATGTCTCTAGTACAGGGAGAACAGAGAGGAAACAAAACATGTAAATGCAGATTCCATATGTTGCCCAAGGATAGAACATACTTGATCTCGTTCTAATTTACGACTTCCCAAACACCTTCCTTTGCCAGCCACTCGGTGGCACCGTGCCTCTGGTTCCCGTATCCAACGGCCTGAGTGGGGAGTGTGGGTGTTTCCTTCTACCTCTACTTCACACTATCCTTACATGATATGAGGACGAAGTGACGACCTTTCTTCTTTGATAGGTTTGGATTCAACTAGCCAGTACAAGTTTTGTATTTGGCCACTTAGGTTAAGGAAATAAATTGCTCTGTTCAAAATTTAATAGTTGCCATGGCACTTTAAACTGGTATTCACTTTTGCCAGAATGCCATGTATACAGAGCACTATACCCACACAAATTAAGGGTACATTCTTGATTTTTACATGAGGAAATAGTTATTTGGCCGAAGGTCATCAGCCTGATCATATATGTTCATTTAACAAATATCTATTGAATGCCTATTTGGTGCAGGATGTTAGGGCTGGTTATGGGTATTTTGTTGATCTCTGTAGATTTTCACAGCTCAACCTCAAATATTAGCAATTTCACGGCTGTGAGTCTGGAAAATAAATTGCGTCCTAACTTGATTAGTCACTCACATATGACTCAAAGCTGGGAACATTTGCTGTGTAGAGAGCATAGCGCGAGGCCTCTGCCCAGGGGCCGGTCACCTGGGCCGCTGCGGGAGGCCTTCCTTGCACCCGCATCCATGGCTCTTCTCTTTGTGGGGCTTCTTACTGCCGCTCTGTGTCCCCCTGTCTGCATGTCTCTTGTGCTGTTGCACGTGACTGAGTCGATTCTTTTCGTTTTGTAGCTCTTCTCTGTGGGCCGGGCTGGGCCGGGTCGGCACGCGCATCCCACCAAGCCTGCGGTAAAGCTGCGGCGGCGCCGTGCAGCCCTCCCTGCGCCCCCTTGTCTGCAGCGCCCGAATTCTCTCACAGCCTTTCTTGTGCTCCCCCCTCAGCGCTGATTTCTGAAGATTTGTGCAGGGTTTCAGTGTTGTCATTTGATGCTGCAAGTCTTCTCCCACCGTCATTTTGAGGAGAGGCTAGAAAGAAGGCCGAGAAGTTCTGGGACTGAGCTTTGTGTCCCATCTTGAGCACTCAGTTCTCTGCTCGTGCTCCTCAGTGTGCAGCGGTGAGGAGCGCTCATCTCACCCATTCTCAGGAGCTTCAGGAACCTTCGGGCACGGGTTCCGTGCCTTTTCACTGAGCCATGGTGCTGGCAGCACTCTGCACTCAAAATGCCCCAGCTCAGCGTGGGGCCAGCTCAAGTGGCCGACTAGGAAATAGTCTAATTGCAGACGCCAGTCTGAATCTTCCTCCTGAAACTAGGAGAAAATCAGCTGAGTCACTGATGAGTGTGGCTGTAATTACTTTTATTTGTATCTAATTGTTGCCTTATTTAAATGGCATAATGAGCCCAATGGAATAACCTAGCCTAGCTGCTTTTTCAAAATAAGATCTGTTGGAGTCAGAAAGAGTGCAGAGAGAAGAGTCCCATTTCCTGCCCTGCTAGTGGACTATTTGGATTTTATTTTGAAACCTTTCCATTTGACTTTGTGGACTGAGAAGGGAAAGTGCCAGATAATCTAGAGCAGAGACATGTATATGGGTGGAGGTCAGCCCTTCTCCAGCCTGGAGGCCAAGGGGCTGGACTTCACCTGGTGTGAGACTATAGGCTTCCAGCTTGCTGCAGGGCAGTGGGCAGCACCGGGTGGGCCCCACTTTGGAGCCTAGTCTCCTGGTGTGCCTAGTAGCATCGCTTGTGGAGGCCAGAATAGGTCCAGCCTCAGGCGAAGAGGTGGGAAGGAGATGACTCTCTTCCCCCACTTCAGCAAAGTCTGTGTCCCACCTTGGAGGCAGCCATAGCCCCCAATTAAGATCAAGCCCAGTGCCAAGAACAGGAGCACGGAAAGGTTGGAAAGGATGAGTGGAGGGCCCATGATCTCCAAGGCCCCCGCCACTAAACGTGGACTCCTAGCCTTTACTGTTTGCCTTGGTCTCTGGATCCTTCCCCTGTGTTGCATGGTACATTCTCTGTAGCCCCGCTTCCTGTCGCAATGGAATGGGCTCCACACACCAGGCCAGTGTCCTCCCGGGGAGCAGCCCTCATGGTGACAGCAGCCTCTCATGAGCACCTAGCACAAGCCAGGTGTGCTCTCTGGGGCTTCTGTGTCTTCCCTCAGTGAACGCTGACAGACAGCTCTCTGAAGCAGCTCCCATGGTATCCACATTTACAGATGAGACTGAGGCCTAGAAGTAGTGTTAGTGTCAGGGGCTGGCCAGCCTCGACTGGGTTGCAGCCTCGACCTGGAGCTGGGATTAGCTCCCAGCAGTCTAAGCACAGAGCTCGACCCTTCCCCGTGAGTCCTGGGTCCTTTGGAGGCTGTCCTCCTCTCGCAGGCTAGGGGGAACGCAGGGAAGGAGAAAGGAACCAACCCAGAGCAGGGCAGATTAATCCAGTGTGAAGAAACCAACAAGGTGGAGTCAGGAACCGTGTTCCTCTTCGGGCAAGTGGCATCTGGTATTTTTGACTAGTTCCCTGAGCTGTCCTTCATGACAGCCAGTCTCTTCCTGGGACACCTGCCAAGTGGCCCCACACTGGCCCACCAGGCTTCTGGAGACCACGTGCTATCTGTCTTGCAGAGGTCCAGCACCCCGTCCTCACCCACCGGCACATCATCGTCAGACTCAGGAGGATATCACATCGGCTGGGGGGAGCGGCAGGGCCAGTGGCTGCGCAGGAGAAGGCTGGACGGGGCCATCAACAGGGTCCCCGTGGGATTCTACCAGAGGGTGTGGAAGATCCTTCAGAAGGTGAGCTTGGTTGCTGCGCCACACTCTACCCCTGCCCTGCCATTGCCTTTGTGGGGCATGGTGGCATCTCCAACTATTAGGTAGCACGTGGTTACAGAACAAACAGATGCACAGCCCTGACCTGAGTAGCTCACAGCCTAGAGCAGGGTTTCTCCCCCTCGGCACCACTGACATTAGCACCCAAGCAGTTCTCTGTGAGGGGCTGTCCTGTGCACTGTAGGATGCTCAGCAGCAGCCCTGGCTCTACCCATAAATGCCAGTAGCACCTCTTCCTCAGTTGTGACAACCAAAAGTGGCTTCAGACATTGCCAAATGTACCCTGAGAGGCAGATCACCCCTGGTTCAGAACCACTGGCTGGAACTACAGCAAGAAAGACAAGGTGATAGCCCAGGTTTGTGTGGGACCAACTTTGACATATTGTAGGACGTAGAAAAGGCAGAAGATAAACAAAAGCTGGAAAAGGCTTTGGGTGACAACACTGTAACGTAGACAACCCAGAGCAGTCCCCACAGGCTTTGGCTCTGGGATGACAGTTCGGGACAGGTCTGTATGGGGCCAGCCCCCAGATGCTGCGCATACAGGCAGGCATGGTGTCCACACCATTCAGGGTGGTAATCCAGCCCTCACTGTCTGCAAAGCCTGTGTTGGGTCCCAAGGACACACAGACACGAGAGCTTCCGGTCTTGTGCAGGCCCCATGTGCCCTGGAGGCACAATCTCCCTCACACCCTGAGCCACCCTTGCTCCCCACCTGGAGGAGGGGACCCCAGAGCCTAGTCCCCTAGCCCACTGCCCACTGCTCCTGTGGCCATCCATCAGGGCTGCATTTCCCATCTGCCTGGGACCTGTTAAAATCTCACCAGAAGCTGAAGTTGGAAACAGATATGAGGTGACACAGCCGCCGACTACACTGCACACACCTAAGCACGAGAGAGCCCTCCCAGATGCTGCAGCCGAGGAGGGCAGCGGGGAGGGTGGGCCCTCGGGTCTCTGGGCCCATGCGCTGCTCCCCGGGCAGCCAGACTTGTCTTTCCTCTTGCGCGGAGAGATGGTATGACTCCGCTAACAGCTCCTGTGCAAACCAAGACCGATTTTCTTCCTAAACTTTTTTGGTTTTTAGCTCATTTTGTAGTAGGAGGGGAGAGAAAAATAATCCCCAATGATAGGATCCTACAACGCGTTCCCAAGGCCGCAGTGGAGCCCTCTGGCTGCAGAGGCCTCTGGTCACCCCTTCCCTGCTCCTTCCTATCAAGAGGGAAGAGGTCACTGCTGCTGCTGCTGCCACCAGCCAGGGCACTGGGAGTTAGAACTTCTAGGTGGCCAATTAGACTAGAACAGACTGTTCCTAGAAAATCTCCCCACTCTTCCTGGGGCATCACACACTTCCGTGCAGACTTTCACTGGCTCAACACCAAGACGCTTTTCTTATGAAAAAGCAGCATTTTGTGTTGAGCCACCGCTGATATTTATACCCGTGGGTGTGCACGTGCGTGTCTGTGCATGTGCTCAAGGCTTTTGTGATTGGTGCTTATTATAGCACTCTCAAAAATAGATGCCTGCAAAGGCACAGAAGCACACTTCGCCAGCAGGAGCCATGAGTCTCCCTTTATCACAGCACCAGAGGGGACCTTGCAGCCTCCAGAGCCAGCACCTAGTGAATACGGAGCCTCGGGGAGGAGGAGCGGGCAGCACCCAAGGGCATTGCTCCTTCCGATCTGAAAGGTGCCTACTGGTTTCCCTGGAATTGTTCCATCCAAAACACAGCCTGTGGGCAGTGAGAACAAGCTCTCTAAAAATAACTCAGACAGTCTGGCGTGTTCCAGCACCCGTGCAGGTCCCAGGGCAGAGCGAGCTGCGGCGTGCGTGTGCCTGCATGTGTGTGACATGTGTGCATGGGTGGGTATTACCACGTTGTGGAATCCAACTAAAGTGTGGCTTGTGTTCTGCTTCTAGTGCCACGGTCTATCCATCGATGGTTACGTCCTCCCATCCTCAACGACGCAAGAGGTATGGTGAGCAGAATGCCTGCCAGCCCCCCACAGGTTGACAGTAAGGGCTTTATTTCCTGGACGCTGCCATCATCGTGTTCCTGTCAAGCATGTTATATATAGACAGGCCATTTTCTTTCCCACATCTACGAGCATTGCCTTTTCTCTCTTCTTGCTCTCAGAAACAGCACTTCTGGGCTGTCATGCTCTTTAGATTTGCACCACAGCTCTTCAAACCCCACTGAGAGGAAAGAGCCCAGCTCCATGCAGCCCTCGCTAGGCCACATGCAGCCTCTGCTGGCCCCTTTTCTCTAGCTGAAAACAGTCACCTTCCCTGGCTTATTTTCCCCCATTCATTCATTTTATTTACTTATTTATTTATTTTGGGTTTTTGGTGGCTACCTGGTATGCCATGCTCTAACCAGCTGAGCTACCCACCAGCCCTCTAATTCATTCTTTTAAAAATGGATTTTTTGGGGCCGGCCCGGTGGCGCACTGCTACAGTGCACCGCTTGGGAAGCGCGGCTGCGCTCCCGCCGAGGGTTCGGATCCCACATACAGACCGGTTCCCGCTCACTGGCTGAGCGAG